ATATACATGTATCTAGTGACTACATGTCCAAAGTAGCAGAGTTGATCGGTTAATCAAACACTAACTTAAGAACATCTTAAGAAAACTCAAATTCTTTGTTACACAAGACTCAAAACCCCCAATCAAAGTCTTGCTAGTTTATGCTATGCTTGATACAATGGTCTTATAAGACGTTTTATTTCGCCAACTTACACATGTAGTAACATATTTATTAGTAGTACTCCATGTTATATTACATTGTATAGCACGTAGACTACTACTGTGTATATTTATCAGTAGTACTCCATGTTATATTACATTGTATAGCACGTAGACTACTACTGTGTATATTTATTAGTAGTACTCCATGTTATATTACATTGTATAGCACGTAGACTACTACTGTGTATATTTATTAGTAGTACTCCATGTTATATTACATTGTATAGCACGTAGACTACTACTGTGTATATTTATTAGTAGTACTCCATGTTATATTACATTGTATAGCACGTAGACTACTACTGTGTATATTTATTAGTAGTACTCCATGTTATATTACATTGTATAGCACGTAGACTACTACTGTGTCTGTCATATTCTAATGAATCCTGGTATTGGCCATTGACACTAGATATGACAGATGCAGCGTAGCCGGCGTATTCTACCCTGCTTTCACTCATTACTTCTTTGACTAAACATATCCTGTGTCAGTAGCTTGGTTGGAATATTAGATCTTTCGCAGAACAGGCATTTCATACAGAAAACTAGAATTTGGTCAGATCAGTCAAAGCTCGAACGTCTCTTTGCTACGGTAGAACAATATATCTGTGCTACTACTGTCCTATATTCCTCAAAAGTATAGCTTCAATGGAACGAATTGTTTGATATTGTTCTGCAAACTTATGCTTTTGAAATAAATTAAAAATAACAACAATTTAGTATATAGTTTATTATATAAATTGTTTTTTATCCTTGTTTAGAGACACTGAAGAAAGGTGAAATTCCCCTGAAAATGGGGTACCTCAATGATATCTAGTGACAAATCCAAAACTAGATTAAACCTCAATTATTTTTCACCCAAACATGCAATAAGTGGTGATAGGAACAAATAGCAATAGAACAATATATGATTACCATGTCTATGGTTGACTAGTTATGTACAATAATATGAAACGTTTTCAGACCTAGTGGTTTTTGTACTTTGGGGATGAGGATGCATTATAAGAGTGGAAATCAAACACCACTTTTCGGTAGCCCAACAGTTGGTTTACGCTTGAGCGAAATCCAATGGAGCAAGCAAAAAGAAAACAGCCTTAAGCGTAGTACGACCGAGTCTTTTTAGTTTCTACATCCATTGGCTTTTGAGTACCAAATTCAATTTATATTGCTATAAATAAGTTCTTTACGTGTATATACGTGTTTCTTAAAGAGTATCCACCACTGTCATTTAATAAATACTTTACCCTGCGAGTACAAAACTTCATAAATTACTACATTTAGTGAAATCATTCCGTATAGAGTAACTCTTTCACCAAAACAAAAGTATCGAAAAACTATTTTACTTACAGTTCTCGAGCTCTTATTGTTCTCTAAGACAAACAGTAGATCAGCAGACTGTAGATTTGATATTTACAATATACTCGAACTCTTCACACCTACCTGTATATATGAAAAGGTTCGAAGTTTGTACACCAAGATCGTTAATACGTCACTAGCAGCTGGTTTTGACGGAATGCGCAAGGAGCTTGTTAACTGTATATCCGAACAGGTCCTTACACAAGTATTGTTTGGCCACCTAACTGAACTCTTTAGCCTTTCTCTTAAATCAGGGTACATCCCAGTCTCTTGGAAGCATGCAAATATTCTCATTTTCCTTAAAGAAGGAAAACTACCGACCAATCAGCTTCACCAACTGTATAAAAAATATTAGAACGAATAATAAGTAATAGGCTAAATACATTTATGGAAAATAACTCAAAATTACCCGATGTACAAAACGGCTTCAGAAGGTTTCGGCAAACGACTGACCACATAGTCAAATTAACATAAACAATCACGGACAGTTTAAATATATATGAATGCACTGCCGCATGTTTTCTCGATATAGAAAAATTATTTGACACCTACCGCGAGGAATTGTTCGCTGGACAATAGAACATGTAGAATTAATGTGTGTGTGGGGGGGGGGGGGCTACTCCGAGTATTTTACTCAAGAGGCAGGTGTTAACAGACACAAATATCTGCCTCAGATCGCAATTATCAGATGACGTGGGAATCTGGAAGAGCTCCCCAACACCGTCCATAGCAACAAACCGGCAAACCGGATTAAATCAAACAGTAGAGTATTGCCCAAAACTCAGAATTAAAATTAGCGTCCCTAAAACACAAACAGCTAAGAAACCACCAAAAATGTACATGAATAGAACCCTCCTCCAGACTGCCGCGTTAGCTAAATTCCTAGTTAGGTATCAGATATGACTCTAAATTAAATCGAAAAACCCATATTAACCAGATCAGAACTAAAATATGGAGGCGCGCAAATAAAGGTCAAGAGCCTTTCAGGTAACAACTCAGGAACTTCACCACAGAACATTATTTAAATATTCTAACAATATGTATGACCAATAATCGAATATGGTAGTCCAGCATGTATTAACATCTCACTAAATATAATAAAGAAACAATTACATCCATTACAGCACTCAATACTCACTACAGCATATAAAGTACAAAGAACCACAAACTCATATTTCCTATACAAATACGCAACTATACAGACAAGTATAGGACAGTCTCTTACAGTACTCAAATATTTATTTTTCAAAAACTCTGAATTATGATTAATTTTCTTGTCATAGATTAGAAAATGAATGTGTCTCGATATATGGAACTGTTTGTCACGTGTAGGACTGACTATACACATCAAGCTAAGAACAATATGTTCCGAGATAAAATGTTTTATTCGTCTAGCATTTACCAGTCACGATGGTGTACTGTGATGGAGGGAGTCTTCGAAAGCATGTGACCCTCCAAGACCCGAACGAAAGGAAACGGCGCCCGTCCCAGACTCCACAGACCAACAGTGACACGTGCTGTAGTTCTGTCGAATTGTGTATACCAGCGAAAAGTAAGTTTCGGTAGATATTTACATGTGGTATATCTATAGAATTATATAAAATATCCAAATTAAACTTCGGCAGATATGTACATGTGGTATATCTGTAGAATTATATAAACTATCCAAACTAAACTTCGGTATGTACATGTGGTATATCTGTAGAATTATATAAACTATCCATACTAAACTTCGGTATGTACATGTGGTATATCTGTAGAATTATATAAACTATCCATACTAAACTTTGGTATGTATGTACATGTGGTATATCTGTAGAATTATATAAACTATCCAAACTAAACTTCGGTATGTATGTATGTACATGTGGTATATCTGTAGAATTATATAAACTATCTATACTAAACTTTGGTAAGTATGTACACGTGGTATATCTATAGAATTACATAAACAAGCTAAACTAAGCTTCGATAAGTATGTACATGTGGTATATCTGTAGAATTATATAAACTATCCAAACTAAACTTCGGTATGTATGTATGTACATCTGGTATATCTGTAGAATTATATAAACTATCTAAACTAAGCTTCGGTAAGTATGTACATGTGGTATATCTGTAGAATTATATAAACTATCCAAACTAAACTTCGGCAAGTATGTACATGTGGTATATCTGTAGAATTATATAAACTATCTAAACTAAGCTTCGGTAAGTATGTACATGTGGTATATCTGTAGAATTATATAAACTATCCAAACTAAACTTCGGTATGTATGTATGTACATGTGGTATATCTGTATAATTATATAAACTATCTAAACTAAGCTTCGGTATGTATGTATGTACATGTGGTATATCTGTAGAATTATATAAACTATCTAAATTAAACTTTGGTAAGTATGTACATGTGGTATATCTGTAGAATTATATAAACTATCTAAATTAAACTTTGGTAAGTATGTACATGTGGTATATCTGTAGAATTATATAAACTATCTAAACTAAGCTTCGGTATGTATGTACATGTGGTATATCTGTTGAATTATATAAACTATCCAAACTAAACTTCGGTATGTATGTACATGTGGTATATCTGTAGAATTATATAAACTATCCAAACTAAACTTCGGTATGTATGTATGTACATGTGGTATATCTGTAGAATTATATAAACTATCGAAACTAAGCTTCGGTATGTATGTTCATGTGGTATATCTGTTGAATTATATAAACTATCCAGACTAAGTTTCGGTAAGTATGTACATGTGGTATATCTGTAGAATTATATAAACTATCGAAACTAAGCTTCGGTACGTATGTACATGTGGTATATCTGTTGAATTATATAAACTATCCAGACTAAGTTTCGGTAAGTATGTACATGTGGTATATCTGTAGAATTATATAAACTATCTAAATTAAACTTTGGTAAGTATGTACACGTGGTATATCTGTAGAATTATATAAAATATCGAAACTAAGCTTCGGTAAATATGTACACGTGGTATATCTATAGAATTATACAATCCAGCCAAACTAAGCTTTGGTAAATATGTACATGTGATATATCTGTAGAATTATATAAACTATCTATACTAAACTTTGGTAAGTATGTACACGTGGTATATCTATAGAATTATATAAACTATCTAAACTAAGCTTCAGTAAATATTCGCTCTATTACAAAATATTAGAAGAGAAACACGAAAATCACCAAGTTAAAGCGTTTTGTTTATGAAATTAAAGATGGTTTGGAAATCCTATGTTCTGTAATAGAAGAGAAAAGTTTGAAATTAAATTATGTTTTAGACTTTATGAATATATACAATCGTTACGTTAGCTGAATTTTGTCTTTCTCGTGGTGTGTAGATAGAGTATTTGTTGTTTGAAGTTAAGCACAAAGCTATACAATGGGATATCTGTGCTCTGCCCACCACAGGTATCGAAACCAGTACTTTATTGTTTTAACCATGGTTTTATCAGATACAGGCTGTGTACAAACATTTTAAACATGATATAGTGGTACAGTAAGAAGGTAGGGGTAAGTAGACGTTCATATAAATTCCCTTCAACTGTTTCCACTCTGGTGTATGTACCTCAAGTTACTCAACTTTTCCATCCATTTGTATTCCTGTAAGTGATATAGATGTATTTTAAATATACTGTAGATAACTCCAAAAAACTAAAAGTAGTCTGTGGTGCTACCAAACAGGTTACACATAGTTTAGCAAATAAGGATTTGAGTTCTTACACATATTCATCGTGAAGTGAAATACAGCAACTATAGTGGGACCCCATTAGAGTATGAAATCGAGGCCTGTGCTTGGCTAGTGCTAACTCTTCTGATATGGTAATAATCTTCATTTGGAGTTTCTTACAATAATATACAATTTTTTTGACAGATTTTTCTAGCTCTATTCAAAAAGCTAGGTGTGAAGACAGAGGACGGGAAGTGTGTAGAACCGGCGACTGTGGTTGATGTAATAGGTTTGGAAGTAAGGGAAGAGGGAGAGGAGGGATCACCTGGAGCCAAAGGAACGGAGGGAATCATGGTTGAGCAGGTGAGTAAGGTACAATCAGATGGACGTGAATAAGGGAAACTACCCAATGAAGTAATCAGATAGGAAGATAAACAGAAAGAAACAGGTGGGGCCAATCCTGGCTGAAGGCATCTATTGCCAAAGCCCTAGGGTGGGGAATTGGGGGACCAAACTGAGGTAATTTGTGATGGAGGTAAATGCATCGATATGGGGAGTACCCAAATGATGACAGTACCAAAAAACAGCAGGATGTAGGGACCAGTCTATGGGATAAACCCGATCCAGTCAGAAAAGACATTCGGCTACCAGATTGAATGCAACTGGAATATGACTCGCCATCAAACGAATGTGATGGGAGTGGGTCCAACAGAGAAGATCCAATATTCAAAACACAGGGATTTTGATTGAGTGCCACCTTGATGAATGATATAAGCCACCACTGTAGAATTGTTGGAATGGATCATAACCAGGCAACAGTTGTTGATAGAAAGAAAATGATTCAATGCCCAATGAACAGCCAGGAATTCCAGGACGTTGATGTGAAGAGAACATTCTTCTGCAGACCAACGATCTGAAACCTCTTAGTGATTGAACCATGCACGCCATCCCTGAAGGGATGTATCAGTGAACAGATGTAACTCTGGCAACGGAGGAGGAAGCGGGACACCCACTGATGTATAGTCCTTGTCCGACTACCAATGAAGATTGCCCATCAAGGAGGATGGAAGATGAATAGGAGCATCCAAGGAATCTTGTGCAAGGTTCTACTGATCATAAAGGGCCCACTGAAGCAAATGCATATGAGCCCTACCAAGGGGTATGAGAGGTGTCAGAGACGACCACCTTCTCAAAAACGATAAAGCCTCGCCAGTAGTAAGCAAGGGAGCAGCAGCCAGTTCCATAGTCAGAGAGGAGAAGATTGGGCCCGACCAAAATGAGTGTTGAAGAAAACACTCAGATGTACAAGGTATTGGGTAGAATGAAGGACGGACTTTCCCAATATGATCAACCATCCCACCTGCACAGCTTCAAGAAGGAAATAACGAATAGGACTGGCCAACTCCTGTTTGGAATGGGCAGGGAAGAAGCCAGTCATCCATGTACACGTGGAAGCTCAGCCCCAGAGATTGAATATGCAGAGCAAAGGGGTGAACCACTTAACAGAAACATGTAGCACAGAATTCAGACCAAAGGGTAGGGAACTAAAAAGGTATACCACCCTGATGGGCAAACTGATGGGAGTAAAACCCGCATGGAGCAGGTACGATAACCTGTTGGGTCAAGTACTGCCTCGGATAAACACTGGTGTGACCAGGGATCCTGAGGAGGAGGAGGAAGGAAACAGGAGAAAGGGGAAAAGGGTATGACAAAACCTTCTGGTAGAACATTATGAACCCGAACTTCAGAAAGGAAAGAGATGCTCTAATGAACAAAACTTGCCAGACGAGCTATCACCTGTCCAGAATTCACCAGGCAGTCACCAGAATTGTTGCCTGAATACCGTGTATCGCCACAAAGAACGGTGAACTGCAGCACCATGGGAAGCTGGGACAGGCAGGGCTGTGAAGGGTAGGATCGGTAAATGGCACTTGGAGCCACACCTGGCTCCAACAGGGAACCCGATGCAAAAGGTGGATCACTGTTGCACAGAAGCTACCCACAACTCAAAGGACACAGTAATTGTATCACACTCAACATGTTGTAAAAACGGGGCCATAAGAAGGTCCCATATATATATGGAGCCGGGCAAGAATATAGCATCGTGACTCAAAATGTTATAAAGGGTAGTGAACCACGTCTGTAGAGCCAGAGCTGAAGACAACATACAGCTCACAGTGGAAGGGAAAAGTGAGAGGATATCCCCAGAAAACCCCACAGGGTTCCCATGAAGAGCCCCTATAAAAACATGTTAGAAGTTGTATATCTAGCCACATTAAACACCGTATATATATATTTTTTCAAAACTAGAAAATTCATTAATATTGAAACTCATTTTTAAATAGCAACATTAACAGAATTGTGGCATCAGAAACCGTATTTTGAATCAAAACTTCTATATTCCCTCAAATGTATTTCATATGTAACAAGCTGCAAAATAATATAAATATTGTATGTGTATTTCATAAATTGAAGTATAAACAGTTGTTTTACTGGAATGCAAAATTAAGATAAAATTGTAAAACCTGATGTTAAACATTAGATTACATAGACCAGTGGCTTATTCATAACTTAGTGATGGTATTTGAATGTTTATTCACAACTTCATTTGGGTTATCTTAAGCTAAAGATGAAGTACAGCGTTAAGAACAATAAAATCTTTATCTACATTTCAGGCTTCCCAGTTTTTAAGTTATTGTCCCTTAAAAGACCTTTACTTCAGATATTTCTGTTGTCTGGTACTAACTATTGTGGGTCTTCCAGTGTCTCTTTACGTTCCATGATGAAATAAATTCTTTATCACACATATTACATCTGTACAATTTTCCTCCAGTATGAATCCTCTGATGTCTTTTAAAATCACCTTTACTTGTAAAGTTTTTTCCACAGATACTACAAATGTGTGGTTTTTCTCCACTGTGAATAGTCTGATGAGTTTTTAAATGTGAATACTGTGTAAAGTCTTTCCCACAAACATCACAACTGTATGGTTTCTCACCAGTATGGATCCTCTGATGTTCTTTTAAGTATTTAGACAAAGCAAATTCTTTGCCACATACATCACATCTGTATTCCTTATTCTCGGAATGAATTTTTTGATGCCGTCTTAAGCTGGAAGACAGTGAGAACTTTTTATCACAGACTCCACAACTGTAATGTCTTTCCCTCGGGTATTGTTTCCACCCAGTGTGTATAGCCTGATGGGTTTTTAAATGTGAATTCTGTGTAAAGTCTTTACCACAGACATCACAACTGTATGGTTTCTCACCAGTATGGATCTTCTGATGTTCTTTTAAGTACCTAGACAAAGCAAATTCTTTTCCACAAACATCACAACTGTATTCTTTATTCTCAGAGTGGATTCTTTGATGTCTTTTTAAGTTGGAAGAGAGTGAGAACTCTCTACCACAGACACCACAACTATATGGTTTTTCTAGTGAATGAATCCTATAATGTTTTTTTAAGTCTCCTTTACTTGCAAAGATTTTAACACAGATATCACAACCGTAAAATTTTTCCTTATTATGTATTTTCTTATGTTCTCTTAACACTTCAGACATACAGAATTTTTTGCCACAAACATTACAAATGTGAGATTTTCTTTTGTGGATCTTCTGATGTTTGGTTAAGTTGTCTTTTCGTCCAAATTCTTTTCCACAGATATTACAACTATACGTTGTTTCTCTGGTGTGAATCTTCTGGTGTCTTTTCAGATTGTAATATGTTGTACAGGTTTTCTTACAGACTCCACAACTTCTCATATTCTTACTCCCAGAAAGTTCTAAAGAATTAAAGTGGCTTGCTGTTATTTCACTAGGAACTTCTTCTTTTATCAAAAACAGTTGTGTTGAACATGGTTTTCCACCCATGCTATTCATCTGAAGTGTTGATTCTACAATAAGAAGAGAAACAACAATTACAATTGTTATTAGAAATGCTAAATATTTATCATTTCAGGTTGTAGTTTGAATCATTGCCATCTGTAACTTCTAGTACAAATAATTTTTCAAGGTAAATACCTGTTTGACTTTCTGTGAATAATGCACATTACCATAGCTATTTAATTTCAAACAATCTTAATCTAATTCTTAAGACTACAGTGTAATATTACACTTCAGTCTTTTAACAATGAAAGTTATAATGATATGCTTTGCTATTTTATCTCTTGTCTCAACTCAGCAAGCCAAAAGTGAAATTACTGAGATTAGTATGGTAGAAAAGTTCATATTAAATAACATACTTGAGTAAGGAAGCACGTTATGCTAATATATAAAGTTGGAAAACAACAATTTATAACCATAATGAAATGATTTATTTCATATATATTTCAACAGAACATTGGTCTGTCTTCTTCAAGTATGATCTGTGAAACTTGGTCCAGTGATAGCACTGATACTTGAGTAAGGAAGTACTTTACATTAATATAATAATAAGTTGGCAACCAATGATTTCCAGGCATAATGGAGGGGAATATTCATGAACAAGACAGACCAATGTTGTGTTGAAACATGGGGTATGTTCCCCCAAAAAATATATTTGCCAACATAGCAACAATACAAAGATTTTACACTAAATGTAATTTTACTATCTATACATAACAATTTATCGAACTGCTTTACAGATTTTACTTTATACACCACAATAGGAAGTACAATACGTGATGCAATGGCTTTACAGACTTTACTGTGTACATAGCAAGAAATAAATAACTTGTTATAACTGATTTAGATTTTACTGTGTAAATGATGAAAAGTGAAATACTTTATATAACTGTTGCACAATTCTGTAGAAACGCTTGCACTCACCTGCTGTGTTTTCCCACCCATAGTCCAGTTGCTGCAACTCAGTGCTTTGTTCCACTTTCTCTTTCTTCACATTACTATCACCAGCATTTTCAGTGAACTTGGAAATGATAGCATCTCCTAACAAGTCACTAAGTGGCTCTGTCATCTAAAAACAAAAAGTTATTTGCACATTTGACATATCAAAATCAACAACAAAAAAATCTATAGATGTTTGGGTATAATATTTACAAGGACCTTCTTATTAAACATTTCATGAACAAACTATGCAACAGAGACAGATTGAATGGTTATCAAAATAAGCTTATATCTATCAAGTTCATCCTGTCACAAGCCTTATTACTGGAAGGCCTAATAATTCTGTTAAAGCAAATAATAGTAAGCCCTTAATATTCTCAGACTGTACTGTCATCATAATTGTAATATTCATTTCTAATTTATTTTTTGCCTATCTCAGTTGTTAATACCACTGTAAATCACGGGCATATAATTTTGAGACACAAGAAAACATATAAGTAGAAAAAGAGAATCAGTCTCCTCTAGTGGTCTAGCCAACTAGATGCTACCCTTTGAACTTGATATCTGCTAATTAAACTTTATATTAATTTATAAAAAAAACTCTGTACATTGCTAAGTAGGGAACAAAAAGATACAAAAAAAATGTGAAGAACTGTTGATACGGCAACTTGATTATCCAGATAAACAGTCAGTTTAAATCAGTGGATAAATGCTTGTATTTTCACTTAAAATGTTGAACAGTCAACAGAATCATCAGCTGTAAGCTACGTTGTCTACAATATCCTCGACTAGCTCAGTAAAGGCACATAATGAATTCACAGGGAACTGTTTATCAACACAAGTTACAAATTATGACTCATGAACACTAGATAAGTCACATTCACATGCTTAGCCATGAAGACAATCACATTACTGGACACATATACATATGCAAACTCATTTTATATATTAGACTCTAGCACTGGTATAAAGTAATGCATGCACAGAAAATGCTATCCAACCAAAGATGCTGACTAAAAATTAGTACCTAACTCAGCAGGTAAGTATGTATACACTACAGCTCAGCAAACAAGAGTGTCATATGTTTACAAAAATTTACATAAATCTAAGTTACAAACCAACAAACAATAAACACTTTGTACATCCAATAACACATGAGAGTTGCATCACAGTTTAGGCTTAAATAAGATGATTGCATAAAATTTCAGTTATAATTAAAATTAGTTATTTGTTATGTAGTAAGTGTGTAATGATGTGATATGTCATGTAGTGTTATGTGCCAACAGATGCCTGCTTCTGAAAGGAAATATAATGTTAATTTAATTCCTTAACTAAGAAACGTTGTCCTTCCTCAAACAAGAGATGGAAATCCAAACTGAGAATGGAAAAGTGTCCAACTATGAGAGGACCATTCAGTTATGACTGAAGAGTGGTTATAACCACCATCGTGATTAGCTGGAAGAGATAATTACATGTTGATGACATGTGAAGAAAAGCTACTTCTTCATGCAAGTGAGAATGAGATGATAATTTTGTTGATATTTTTTGAACAATCTACTTCAGGTCCCTGTAGTGAACTGGAATAAAACTAATATGATAAGTGAAAATTTGAGGCAACAGATTCGTTAATAATATCCTCTTCAGGTTATTAAAAAACATTATCTTCCTCAATATCAGAATTTCACCAATTATAATAAGGTAACATATTAATAACATGGTATATTCCAACTGAAACACACTGCTGTACACTCTTCAATTTGTGCATGCTTTTCTTCTATCTGAATTGAACCATAATAAATAGGAGCTAACTTCACAAGGAGTGCTTGGAGTGAGGATGGATACCATCCCACTTTCAGGAGGGTCAAAAACCATTCCATTACTTTTTAACTAGACTGTAAACTTCTCAGAAGGGAAAGGTTCAATAGACGATGTAATAAATATTTAAAGCAGCAAAATATCTTGTAAGAGCAACACAGAAATGAAACAAAGTAGCACATGGATGGAGTGAATGAACCGTCTCACCGTCGTAACCATCAGAGTTTCCATACTATAACTCATAACATTATACATCTGTTTAAACTTAATTTATTGTTGTATTGTGCTTTGAACCATGTCTAACTAATAACCCCACCAAACAAGTTGTAAATCACTCTGTGAATGTGCAGCTCAGGTTACCGTAATGAAGTATATAACACAGGAGTTACTCATGAGTATACCTTGTCAAGAATTTTTATTATATGTACAGAATGTAAGTAACAAACATGTAAGTTACTCCTATAAACATTGGTTGTTGAAATGTTCTCTAAGAGCTGTTTGTGTATGTTCTACATATTGGTGATTGCATATTTTAGACTGTATAAGGTAAATGGTGTTTTGTGTTACACAAGTGATTTCTTTGAATATTTTAAAGTTTCTTTGATTGTGCTTGTCAGAAAATGAGTCAGTAAATTTTATGAACTTGCAGATTTGACAATGAGCTTTATTGCATGAATGACAACCATTTATGGTGGGATGTAATTCACTTTTGTGTGAACAAGGATGTCTTTTCTTCAGAAGGAAACAATGGAACTTCAGGAAATATTTGTTTAAGGTGATCGTTCAGTTGCAGGAAATTAAAATCTTTTTCAGAATTTGTGAAATCTTTCTGAGTTTAAAGTGATAGGTAATAATAAGAGGAATTCTATTTGAAACTTTAGTATTGTTCTATTCTAGGATGTCTTTCGGCTGAGTTTTATTAGGTTAAAAACAAAACCATCAACTGCTCGTAGTAGTGAATCATGATTGCAAGCAATGAAATTGAGTCTAAATATCCACTTTTTGGGCAGCAAAATAAAAAAATGAAAAATTTTGTAAAGAAACATCTGCTTTTTCTGAGGTTATAAACAATCCAACAGCAATATCAGAAAGAATTACCAACATTTTTTGAAAGACAATAACATGGTAGGAGTGTGTTATGTGGGCTTGACCACTTTTTTTTTTAGTTATATATATATATATATTATGTTAAAGCAAGAAGATTGAAGGTTCTAAATTTATATTATAGCTTTTCAATATCTATAGTATGTGTTTTTAATTAGTTGGACACTCATAAAATCACATAAATGTAGAAATAAAACCTTAAATGAGCAACTTAAACCAAAGACATGACACAGACAAGCAAGAATTTAAATATTTTTTAAGAGATTAAGAAAATAAAACTTACAAAATATTTAAATTTAAATTATAAATTGTTTTGATCCCTTATTGATAATAAATTTATTTAATTAAATTTTCAATGTAAGTGTAAAAAAAAAAGTCATAATATGCACTTTGACTCGACTCTACTCCCATATGCATAGGGTTTATGAGCCAGATGATTGATTGATTAGTAAATTCCACTAACTGCCCAACTTTACTCTTAATTACTAAACTTCTTTAATGAAAATATTGGTTCTTGATTTAGATATTTCCAGAAATTTGTATGCTTGTTTAGGTGGAAAGAAGTTTCAATTAATGCAATGTCTTAAAATTTCTACAAAGTTTAGGAAGCTTCATATAAAAAAGCAAGTTAGGCTAGAGTTAATGAATTAGCTAACGAGTAATTATTGCATGGTTTAGTCAGTTTTTACTGCCAAAGATTAGTCAGTTAGATAATTAAGTGCTGTGAATACTGAAAACATGTTTTGACAAAGAAAGAGAAACACAAAATTAGTATACAAGAGAAATTTATTTTAGACATAGTTCATTTGTGAAGTTAGACTTAAAACATATTTCAAAAACCTCCAGCATTAACTTCCACATACGTTAACAACTTAGAGCTCCCTTCTCTAGCTGTTATTTCAATAGTCTTCATCATTACTGTCCAACTTTACAATATACTGAGAATCCATGCTACTCATTTTTCTAAAGAACCTTACACTCTGCTGCCCTCGTGAACAGTTGCTTTAACAGCTTGAAACTTGTATCTAAGTTACACAAGTTAACATTTGGCTGTTTTAGATCTGTGTTTTATCAACTAAACTGTAGGACTGTTACATAAAGATGAGACAAGGAAAACAATTTATTAACATTTAACTTTTATTAACATTTGGCTGTTTTAGATCTGTGTTTTATCCACTAAACTGTAGGTCTGTTACATAAAGATGAGACAAGGAAAACAGTTGAATTAGAAATGGCTTTACCTCCATCTTCTTTGTTTTTTTATAATTTTCATTTATCTTATTTACTACTCCATACATAGATTGTGAAAATGTTTCCATAGGAACAGTTCTGAGTGCTTCTGTAACACTTGGAGAGACTTCACTTGTGTCTGTAACAGAAATAAAAATTACTAGATGTTATTTAGTCTGCTTTAAATCATGCTAAATGTTCTATCCTTTAATTTTTACCTAAATGTCCTAAATACACATGCACAAGGGATTAACACAAGCTTGATTTTCCATAAATTGTCATTTAAATAAGATATTTATATAATAGTCTTGAAATGATATCTGTTAAAAAAATATTCAATCTTATTTCTAGAATTACACTAAATTCCTCAGAGACTGGATAATCGGATAAATGTTTAAAATGTAGATTCAATCACTAGGTTGAAATACAAAGAATGAAACCAAGAAGTATATATAATTGTCAACTTCTTCAATGGTGTTAAGTATAGCTAAACGTAGTTATGTAAGAAGAACAGTACTTTATGTATGGCGGTAGTTTGAAAAAAGAATTTTAAAAAGTATCACCCACTTATGCATATAAGTATGTATCTTAAATGTTCCTCACTGTATTTGGAGAGGAGAAATAAATCAAACAGTACTAACTTACATATATATAATACCCTAAATATAGTTAGCTTTAAGGGTAGAGAATTGATATAAATGTTATTCAAAGACAAAATGTGGTAGTTAATGGTTAAAAAAGTACCTCACTAGCAATAAGTAGTTATAAATGTACGTAACAAATAATGTATGATAATAACAATATGTCAACTACACCATATCTGCTATATTTAGTGCTCACAAGACCATTTCCCCAACATCAGAGCATAGCCCTTTAGCTCAGTTGACAGAGCTTTTGCATGGCATATGAGAGATCCCAGGTTTAATCCCATGTGTGGGTTATGACGACTGACACCCAACTGATGGTCATCCAATGACTTTGAGATAAGCATGAGGGCAAGCCTTGTTTTTGAAAGGGGGAAGAATTGGTTAGTTTGATTTCATTAGCTAAGTAAGGTAACCTTTTAGCTCAGATAGACCACTTTCCTTGCATGAAAGAGGTCTCAGAAGAATTCTTCTTGTAGGAGGTCAAAAAAATATATGAGAAAAATTAGTAACTAGTGGTTATGAGTTTAAAATTTTGTGTTGCTAGAACATTCATATAATGTGTGAAAGGTCGCAGGTTCAGTCCTGAATGCGAGTTGGGATTACCAAAGTACCACATTTACAGGTAAATGCAAGAAAATTGATACAAACTACTTAAACAGCCATACTTTCAATTCACATAAACTACTTAAACAGCCATACTTTCAATTCACGTAAACTACTTAAACAGCCATACTTTCAATTCACGTAAACTACTTAAACAGCCATACTTTCAATTCACGTAAACTACTTAAACAGCCATACTTTCAATTCACGTAAACTACTTAAACAGCCATACTTTCAATTCACGTAAACTACTTAAACAGCCATACTTTCAATTCACGTAAACTACTTAAACAGCCATACTTTCAATTCACGTAAACTACTTAAACAGCCATGCTTTCAGTTCACGTAAACTACTTAAACAGCCATGCTTTCAATTCACGTAAACTACTTAAACAGCCATACTTTCAATTCACATAAACTACTTAAACAGCCATACTTTCAATTCACGTAATAGTAATAACACTATATGAGAGAGAAGATCAGAAATATAATAACAAAAGGTAAATATGTTTAGAAATAAAACTAATAACTTGTAGAGAAGTACCTGAAATGTATCTGATATAACATGATCAGATGATACTGGCTTTTAGGAACAGTACCTGATTTTTGAGTTAAGTCCCTGAGTAATCAAATTACAAATACAAAAAACATTTCTTTTTTGTGTGCAAGATCCAAAGCTTGTAATGGTCTAAACAAAACTGCACTACAACCAGGGTTCAAACAAAAACAATTTATTAAATATAACAACAGAAATCCAAAATAAAACTTTCAAACAACTAGAATACACATTTTACTCACTTCCAAAAAACATTTAGTAAACCCATGTCTGGCCAGAACGAGGTAGAAACATTAGTACACCATTCGACATAAATCTCAACATTATTAATTTCAATAAATATAAAAAATTTTAAAAAAAAATTGAAGAAATAATTTAATTCACTAGAGAATAACACAAAATTTAACTACTTCTCAATATCAAGAACAATATCGAGCAATAATTATTTCTAACTTTATCTCGTGAACTAACTCAATTTCAAGATCAAGGAAGGCTTTTTATTTAGTGGTTAAACCATGAGACTAGCTATTACTATAAATCTACATAATCTTTCACAACATTAATATCTATACGTGGAAGCTTGTGTCAGTTTCATAATACAAACATTCAAAATCAACATGATCTACACAGAAGGTAAGTTACTGCTTTAACATAACTAAAAATTCATAGTTGAACTAAATGATAGAAGGAATAATAAATAAACGGTAAACAAAGCCATAACAAAATTAAAAATAGAATTCACTATTTCACAAACTTATTTTTTCTATGTACGAGTGATAAAAATACAAACTGTATCATAATAAACCAAAGGTTCTACATAAGATATAAAAACTGTATCATAATAAACCTATAATTCTACATAAGATATAAAAACTGTATCATAATAAACCTATAATTCTACATAAGATATAAAAACTGAATCATAATAAACCTATAATTCTACATAAGATATAAAAACTGTATCATAATAAACCTATAATTCTACATAAGATATAAAAACTGTATCATAATAAATTTATAATCCTACAAAAGTCATATTATAAGCAATCATTGTTTCATATGAAAATAACATTGTATGATATAATCTTTAATTTAAATGTTTGCATTGTTGATTAGCCAGAGAGCATTTTTGTGTAACGTGATGGTCATGGCTTAAGTACTAGATCCTTATTATAAGCTTAGTAAATGAGTTGTTAGTGTTACAATGGTTTAGTAAATTTGTTAGTGTATTTCTTTAAAGCAGTTAGTCAGTAAATTCAGTTTTGTGAATATTGGATTTGTGTTTCAATGAAGTAGTAGAGATATACAAGAAATACTGTGTGTACCAGAAGATATAGTCCCATCAGTAAAGCTATCTTCAAGTTGAACAGGTAAAACATTTTTCTGGCCGTTAAGTACATTGTATTTTGCTATTTTTATTTTGCCAAATAATCTCACAGAACACAGATCATGAGTAAACTATGAGATCTTAATAATGCTACTTTCACAGAATAGTGATAGCTTCAAGCCTATGAAATAACACCCAACAAAATGTTTTATACAACTGATAAGACTTTAACAGAACAACTTATAAGCAAATTGCTGAGAACACCAAGTAAACAAAAATATATACATGTTTAGCTTCCCTGCCCGCTTCCTTTTTTTGCAGCTGCCTCCACCCACTTTTTGTCTTGCCAATTTTTTACTTTTTTGAATTATCATCTTTCAATCATACAAAGAAAACTTCTGAATAAAAAAAATTAGATTAACATAGTTCAATCATTTTGCCCTTTCTCTTTATTTGTCATAAATTGTGTATAATTTGATGAAAAAATTAAACAAAGAAGACTTCTGTTTGACATGGATCCTTTGAAAACAAGCAATAATCATGAAAAAAAAAGGTGCAAACTTTCTTTAAAAGAGGTAATTTATATAAAAAAGGGGGGACCTCCTCCTTCCTTTTTTCAAAAACTCTAAATGCTAAATTTTATTTTTCTATTACTTGGCCTGACGTTAAGTTAGGGCATTTTATGGTGATTTCAATGCCTTCAAAATGTGAACTATTCCACATACATGCCCAACTGTTACAACATATTTAAGAAACACCACTGCATCACTTGAAGCTGAGACTAACATACTTTGTCAAAATATACATTTGGAAATTTATGTTGAGCTATCCCACTAACCAGTACATATCCAGGTGCTTTTTAAATTAATATATACTGAACAATATCTTTTATGAGCAAGACATTACTGAAATACACTGAAGGAAACATTAAAACCTGTCTGTTGATAACAGTAAGGTATAATGGCTTTTTCTAACATTGTACTCATAAACAACCTTACTTTGAGATGCTTCAAGAGAATGGTTGTCTTCCCGTAACACAACTTCCAACAAATCATGTGGTTCCTCACTAGATGCAGGTTCAACTTTTATTTTTACCATGTCCATGGCACAGCTTAGGTCATTACTTACCCAGCTGTTCATCTGAATGGTACTTTTCACCTGCCAAGAAAGAAGTGAATACATGAACTACAGTGATGCCATTTGTCTTACTGACAAATTGTAATTGTGAAACTAATCACTTTCTGGAAGTTATTGTATAAATCATTGTCTACAATTGGTTGCTTTACACTTTGTAATCCAGAGTGTAGTGCCTGGAACATAGCCAGCTCTGGAGACCAATATTTTGCCACTACTAACTAAGGAAACATTTACTAGTGGTCAGCTGTAAGTATCATTATAGGTGAAACACACCAGTAAAATGTACTTACTACACACCAGTAAACACTACTTAGCCTGACCACTACTGGTCACCTCTCACCACTACCACAGCTGAAACACATCAGCAAGATGTAATTACTACACACCAGTAAACACTAATTCGCCTGACCACTAGTGGTCACCTCTCACCACTACCACAGCTGAAACACATCAGCAAGATGTAATTACTACACACCAGTAAACACTAATTTGCCTGACCACTAGTGATCAGCTGTTGGCACTACTTCACACTAACACTCATTGTATTATGTATACTGTATGTACATTCACCTCTAGACTGATTCTCTGTAATATAATGACAAACATTCAACTTGTTGTACATATCCTTACATGTAGCACATACCACAGAAGAACTTTATCAACATGTAATTCAGCATCACCATAAATGTAATTAATTGCTAAGTTTCACTAGAAAAGCAAGCCACAAGAATACTTTAATGAATTTACAATTGCAGTGCAGTATTATACTAGAAGATGCACACTATTGGAAGTTTGAATATATCCTGAACAAGAGAAAATATTACTATTAGTTACTGAAACCTTAAAAGGTAGGAAAAGAATGTCCCAAGAGTATAATGAAGCACGAGCTTCAAGTTCAACGAAGTTTTGCAATATATGCATATGTATAGCTGAAAAACTTGAAATCAAAACACTGCCATATACATTTTAAAAACAAATAATAAGAAAGTTTTAACAAAAACAAAACCTCTTGTTAATGTTAGTGCTAGACTGAGTTCGGGTCTTTCTAACCCTAACGACTCTTACTAACTTATTAACAGTAACATTTCCAACTTGCACTTTCGGTCAACAATCTCAATAAAATCCATGCAAGAATCTAAACAAATCTATCCTTATTTTTAGTCTAAGAAAACGATAAAAACGTACCGTTCATAAAATACACTGATATTTTGCATGAACGTGTGACATGCCTTTCAATTTCACAACGTATAATAACAATAAAAGTGTTACTCTTGAAACGTGTGAATAAAAAATTAATTAACGTGTAAAACTTATAATAATTGAGCCAGGAGAATCTAGTGACTTCGAATTGACAGTAAATACTTACTAGATTAGAGAAATTATAGTATAACATTGGATACTGAATATTGTACGTATTCTAATAAAATGTGGAACAATCATACAAATTACAAGCGAACAGCTTTACATATTGATGTTATAACAAATTCCTTCATGTACTTTTGTGTCACATTGGTCAAATACAATATTTAATGAAATAATTCTCTTTACTGGTAACAAAAAAATTGTATTCTAAAATTGATGGGATGGGAAAAGATCAGATTCCACTACTCATCCAGTGCACTAACAGAGTGGATGCATATATACTTTAGGTGGTGGAATGAAGGAATGAGTAACGCAAATTTCCGCCTGTCTCTAGTTTCTGAACTTTTTCCATCCCAACAATTTTAGAATAAAAATTTTTGTTACTAGTTTCTGCACTTTTTACAAGTCGAAGTCTTGGCTTCCAGTGCAGCTGTAACTTCTGGGTGAAAGGCGCCATTGCACCAATTTCTTCAGTTCCATTATATAAAGAGCCATAATATAATCTATAGACGTTAGTTTTGAAGCAAGATAAGTCATGACCAGGGCGCTGCGCGATGCGATAAGGGATATACGGTAGATTATCTACTTCCATATAACACACATAATGGCTTACTGCTCAGAGAACGTGATTAGTACTTTGGGTTGTAACTAACCCATCCCTACATAGAGATTGTTAACGCACTCCCAGATTAATGTTTAATTA